GAGAGGAGAAATTTGTGGGGGGGGGTCAATTACGTTAATTTTTTGAAGCCCTCTGGATTCTTCGTCCTTCTACATCACTAGATATTGGAAATTTGGGATTCTGCTTGCTGAAAGATTGACGGATTATTACCAAAAATTACTTCTCGTGGACAACATGATGCTGCGCAAAGTAGGTCTGTGGCTCCGTGACTGGTGCCCCGTCGCTGGAGTTTAGCACCGCACTGAACAGCATAGCTTCAGAATAAGCTTATAAAGACGTGCTAACACCCAATAAGTTGTTTATTTGAAGCGTGCCGAACGTTTTGATGACCACTACAGCTCGTCAGCTGCTGTTCGAAGACATGCCTTGTTTGTTAACTAAGGGGCGTTTTATAGCGTCGTCGTCATCAAACTTCCGCCAACTGATTGTTCTTTCATCCAAAAGCCATTCTTCGCGTCCAGTTTCAAACTGCCCGCTATTCAAGAAGTTGAACACTGAAGACATCTATAAGGGAGGCAATGACGTGAATAAACTTATGTTCATAAGTCTTTTTGTTGTGTTTAGAACCGACGGTCAAGGGCAAGTTTTATTTTTCAAAAGGATGTGACAGTGGGATATAAATAAATTCATCATTACGGGAAGCGCAAAAAAACTCACAAGTGATGCGACTTATGGGCTGAATGGAGGCACGCTCTTTCAGCTGACTGGCCCGGAAAATATGAATCTTGCGAGACCCGAAGAAGTAGGTAAAAAAAAGAATAAAAACAGCATGGAATCTTATAAAATTGAAATGGACGCCTGTAAGTCCTACAATAATGCACAGGTGACTGTGAACAAGAAGTGCATTGTTTCATGTACAGCAATAAAGGAAGAAACAAGCGGAGAACTAGACCATCGAGTGGAACGGATACAACTCCCCACAGCCATCTGTCAGCAGGCAATCAAGCGAGGCGACAGAAGCTGATGCTGACATTTCAGCAGCACGTCGTTGTAATTATAAACGGTGGGATTATGCGGCCTGGAAATAGTTTTCCTCAGCTGTCCAAAAATGACAGGAAGGGACATGCGGAAAGCCGATCCAAGGGTCTATATACCCTTACATCATCCGCCAAATGCATCAGATGTATTTATATTCCCTGGCCAATATATATTGCGAAATTTTTGTACAAATGAGCGTGTTACGCTCTGAGCTAAGTAAACATAATCAGCGTGCAAAATTGGGGTGGGGGACAATATATACACACAGCGATAGACACATCAGGAAATTTTATGTGAACGTCAGTGTCAATGAAACCTGCAGGTACAACGAGATTTAAGTGAATTAAAAACCGTCGAAACTCCTTGGCTTCCCACAGGCCACTGTCCTCAAGTAGACCCCGATGACGTTGTGGGTGTGACTATGTTCACTTGAGATGGGCCTGTCAATTACCGTTCTAATTATTTGCGAAAATTTGTAAGGACGACGCGCTCGACCACCAACCCAAAATTCCAGGAGCTGTTTTGTTTTGCCTAGACATACTTAATACGTATAATCAGAGAGTGATGACTTGATAATGTTCATTGGCAGCTGCTCAAATGAGGTGACACCAATATGATGTCTAGCATTGGATTTTGAACGGTAGTCGGCGTATGTCCGAAAATGGGCGTCTAGTTGTGAGAAATTCATTGTTTTCTTTCAAACCTTACTCCATGAATTACACATCTCCCAACTCCTTAATAACCAGAACACACTCTGATTTTTTGATGTAGACCTGGCTGACTTGTCGCAAACGACAGATGTGACAGATGAACAGGCACACATCCTAGATCATTTGGGGAAATAAAACCACCATCCAAAACCAACCTCAGACCATTTATCGTGTCTCCCAAATAGGCTTCGACGTTTAGCGGTTCCGGAACACCCAAAATACACCTCGTTCCTGCTAATTGCTACGCATTTGCGAGAATTGGGCAAAGCTGTATTCACACCATTGATGTTGAGCACAAGTTTGGGCAGTAATAATTTACTGCGCATGTTTGCTGTCAACCAGGCATTACACAAACCCATCGTAGTTAAACGTGGACATAAACTCCTCCGGCAACAGCTTTAGAAATTGTCAGTCAATGTACAGAGAAGAGTTCTTGGGTCTTTTGGGAAATGACGATTGTGTCCACGAAGAACAAATAGCAACATAGGCTTGCACTTGAGGGACACCGGCAGATGCGCCAGGGCATAGCGCAAGTCATCCACAATAGAAAATGTGCGAGGTGTTTGATAATGTTGCTTCTAGAACGAAGTTACTGCGCCTTAAAGGGAGAAAAATGGCTTGATACCCTATAAAGTACTACCTACGTGGTGTTGGGGGTGTTCTTTTCTGGGATTTGATCTGCGGCCGACAGGGTAGGTATCATTGCTGGGAAAAATGCAGTCATGTTTACAATGTTTCAAGAGTACAGGCATGTTAATAACGCACTAGATATTCATTTACAAGACTGTATTGGAGGCGAGCTTATGCTTCCTGCATTTCCCAAGTTTTTACACCCGTATCGGTGCTCTCACATATTGCCGCACCCACAGAGTAAATAGACAGAACAAGAAAAATTACGCTTTCTGAAACGATTACGCCTTTGTCTCAGCCGTACTACGTCCATAATTCCAAAAGTAATTCACGTAACCAAAAGCCGTTTACTGAGTGTGCTACAATTTGTTTACACTGGTCGACGGCCATCCCAAAATTGAACGAAGTATAGCAACAAGTAAGTGGAAAATGACACATACAGCGAGAACCAGACTTAGCGCAATATGATATATATTCAACCGACCATGCATTAAGAGAAAACGGTTGCAAAAATTACATTTTACGTACGGTTACAATAACCAACTCATTCCGCTTTCCTTTCCTTTAGAAGGCACTTTTTCAAAAATTACTATATCCGGCAACACATTCCGTTTTCCTGATTTTTAGAAGGCACTTTTTCAAAAATTACTATATCCGGATTGTATACATGACGGCAGTCAGTTGTAATAGCGTTGGAAAATTTAACGACATCTGGCCACCTTTGGCCATGTGTTTACACTGGATAATAACCAAAGACAACTTGATGCAATTTGCAGTACCGATGGGAGTGTACGGCTTTGTGGATGATCCCCATTCTTTGTTATGCGCAACTGGTCAGAGTATAATGCCACAGTAAACACGGCACCTGTGGCAGCACCGGTGGACAAGGGTAGCAAATAGAGGTTGGACGTTACTAATAACACCGGTTGCTACAGTCGGCCAAAGTGGTAACCCGGAATTTTTTAGTGCAACTTTGTTGGGTTTATTCGAAGTTTTTCTTATTGCAGCCGGACGGGACCGTTGTTGGAGCCTTAAATTAACTGAGGCATGTGCACCAGCTAACTGACTATGTCCCATAGTATTCGGCTTCACTATTTAACCTCACGGAATCTGAACTACAACTGGGCGTCGTAGCTAATGTACAACCGCTTTGTGGTTAGAACAACATGCTGAGTTGTCAAAGACTAACCAGATAAGTGCGAAAGATAATTTATTAACATCATTGATTTTTGTCAAGCCGTCTGACGTTGAACTTTTTTGGTTTTCAGGGGTTCAATCAAACGGTTCCTTCAGCCAGGACTGAATTTTTTTTGCATAAAGTCTGCTGCGACAGTCAAGTGTGTGACCACAGAGCACATAACGTCTACAACGGGAAATGTCAGTACAAAATAACTGTCTTACTATTTATCAGCCTTGGTAAATCTGTTGGTGAAGTAGGTCTTTCATTTTCGATTTTTGACCAAGTTAGATAGTCTGTGAATTCAGGGGCAATATTGGTCAATTTTGGTTACGTTATTGTACGAGCTTTGATTAAATGAAGTGCACACCATTCCATCGCTTTTTGGGCTCGATGAGACTTTGTTTCCTCTGCTGACTGACTGTTGTTATGGCTGGTTGTAGAACAATACCATCTGTAATTTACTTTAAACGTAAACAAAAGCTTTAGCTACACACACTTGACCTATCCATCCACATCAGTGGATTAATACTGCTCATTCGGGAAATTTGAAATACTAGGAAATTTGAATCTTTTGTTCTTAGTATACTGATTCTACGAAATTTAGACCTTCAGAATTTTTTCCTGTAAACTGAGTCAACATTTCTCTGGGTTACTCCTCTTGTGACATTATATCCGACTAACATTATTAGTTTGTGCAGTTCTGTAGAAACACCTTAAGGCCGTTAACTACTACCAAACAGTTGCTTTGTTCCATTTTCCCGATAGCTCAGAACTCCCATCGCTCTTATACGCACTCACCTGGTCCAACTATCTCATTAGGTCAGCCACGTCTAATTAGGTCGAGTGCAAAACTGACTTGGGTGAAAATTTTGTTCACTTCAAAGTCCCAACTTTTTGCGCACGGCAGGAAATTCGCAAAGAATTCACGCTTCCCCAGAGTTCGTTCTGCTCGCGCTTGCTTGGCGTAACTCTGGCTTCGAATGATTTAGATTGACAGTTGAGTACCTGTTTTTTTTGTTGCAATCCAGTAGCCGACCAAAACATGCTGGCGTAACAAAAACATGTTTCAGCACCATGTGTTCATCTTTTTTTTACTTCAGAGTACAGTGTTTCATCTCTCAGTGTAAAAGACTTCGAAAGTGTCACCAAAGGACGAAAACCAAAATGCCACCGATTAGAACACTGGTGTTGTCAATATGATGACAATATCTGCTTAACAGACAAATTTTGAATAAGGATTTAAAATGAAGAATAACTGGACTTGTTACATCTATGGGTCAAGTGGTTAGAGTGCGAATTTTGTGACCGAAAGGTCCGTACTTCGAACCCGACCTCCACCTCTCGACTTCCCTTATCTAGGCTTGGGCAACCTGGCAGTATCTCAGCCCACATGCTTCCTTTGGATAGCATGGCAGCTGGGCACGGGATCGATGCTACAGCTGAACGATTTAGTTGTTTTTTTAGATTACTTAAATAGTTAGTTAGATGGTTGGCTTTTGCCGAACAGGTGACCCGCACTATTAGAAAGTTGGCGCGTAAACGCAATTTTCATGCTTATGGGGGCCAAAATATCATACTATAAATGCTATAAAATCACATTGGTGTACATGTGTTTACATGGGCCTGGTACTTGAGTAGCAATAACTTTAACCTACAAAAGAATGTAAAACAAACAATTAGGACGTGAGTTGTACACGTCTGTCAAAAGTGATCTCAGGTTGCTTTAATTTCATATGGTATGCTGGTTCAAGTCTGCTTAAGGACCTATCCTTTCGAGTTATTATGGGCTTCTCCTTACACGTAAAAGTCTACGGAGTTAGAATATTTCTTTCTCTGTCTTTTTAATTCTTACGACACCTTTGGAATCCTCCATCACGAAGATAAACCTTTCCAGGCACCTAGTGATATTGAAAGATTTCTTTCTATCTTTGCTGCACCAGCGTCCATTTTTCCAGGAGTATACTTTGCGAACCTCAGTTTTAAATACAGAGTAGAATGTCAAAATGTTGAGTACGTGGCGCGTATCTCTTGCCTAATGAATGGAAATCATTTCTTACTTGACAGAATATGTATCAAATATTACAGATTCCGTGTTGTCTACACAATTCACGGCTAGCATACTTGATGCTCAGAGTTCCGAAAGCTGTCGGCCCTCAAATGATATCGCAGGAATGGTACTGAAAACTTGATCAGTTTGGGTAGGGGAAATCGTAGTGTATGTTTTCTCTGTTCGATTTCTACTTAGATTTGTTTTGCTCTTTGTCGCGTGGCCAAAATCGGTCCGGCTCCTGGAATAATGTGCATGAAAAACGTAAAACAAGCTGAATGTTTCGGACTTCGTCAATAAGGATTGGCAGTTACACTTGCAACATGCACACATAAGCGCGAAGTTGAAAGAAGCGCTAATATAGCCAGCTCAGGATGTCTTCCATTTAGGTCCAGTGAAAGAGTATAAACTACCTTAAAGTTTCGGGCATTTTGCTTAGCACCCTTCGTAAGTTAAAAGCACATGCAAATTACGGAATTTGCATTGTATTCCATTAAGAAAATTCCTCAGATGCATGACGAAAACATTTCATTAATACTCCTAAAAAGAAAAATTGTTTCGGTTCGCTTCCGGTCGTAGATAGTTATCCAAACCTGTTGTCAGTAGATATCTAATAAAATTAGACAAGCCGATGGACTATTTCTTTTTTATTTTCAAAGCTATGCAACAGAAAACCTTTAGTTAAGAGCAGATGTGACCGGGTACCGGTCAGCTTAGTAATATTTTCACAAGTAAAAATTGCCCAAATCACACAGCATGTGTGTAAAGTAATTTGCGTAAATCCACACTACGCACTAAAACCGTTAGCGCCATTAACCCTACGAACTTTATACAGGAAGCAAATAATCATGGGCCTATTTTAGCGAATGCATTATTTTACTGCGTATAAATGAAGCAATATAAACATGCTACTTTTAGACAGACGGTTTAGTATAGAGGATTTTTGATTACCAGGTGACTATCACACAAACGGCAACATTGAATTCTCGTCGGTAAGATGCGCTGGACGACGTTTGCCCTACCGACCGCGTGCTTGACAATCTTGTGATTGAATGTGACCGACAAAGCACTATTTAACACGGTCGTTGAGCTGTTTCTGAGGTAATTTTATGTGCTGTTGTGCTGTTAGTCAGAATTTTAGACTCTATTTCTCGCTCTCGGGCGGACATCCTACCGCCACACTGAGCATTGTTACATAAAATCAAGGGCTGAGACTTAGCACAACGCAAAGTCTCACTTGTATGCTTACTTGTTGAGATACCTCATGGATATTTTCCTCTGTAAGTTAAGGTGCTATATACTGGATACCTGCGAAGCACTTTACGACTGTTCGGTCCCTGAGGGAAATCAACAGAAACGCACCCTTCAAAAACTCCGGGAATTTTCATCCACGGTTATATCTGGTTATATCTTTATCTAACTGTTTTGTCAATTGTCTGACCATCAGGGTGCTTAGCTTGCACTCATGCAGCGCGCAGCGCTGTACAAACCCATATTACCTTGTGACTTTCTGCCTAGCCTCTCAAGCGATGACCTTTCTCTTCATCTTCCTACATAGTATGTGGACTGCAAGCACGTGAGAAACAGTAAATCATCCAAGGTTTGGGAGAAATAACGCAATGGTCGTCCTGGAAAGCCCTGAATAAACTACCCTATTGTGGTGTTGCCGACCGCTGCGACTTAGTCTACATTGAGCCCAGATATACATGGCCTGGTAACTAAAAGAGTGGCAAAAGTATGGTTGCAGATTCATGTTTTGTGCAGTGGACCAAAAACAAACTTTTCAACTTGATCACAGCATGGGTTTTGCTGTAATAATCTATTCAGTCAGCCACCAGTGACTTAACCAAACAAAATCCTCTGAGTAGTGATGATCATCTAACAATGGCAAAGCCTAGCAAGTAAATCTATTTTTGTGCCAACAGATGGTTGAACTCCGATTAGTAGAGTATGATTTATTTGCTGAGGTATCAGTGTCTCGGATGATTGCATCTTCTTGCTGCATGACTGCCATGTAGTTGCATATATTTCTTCAGGAATCCGTGTCCCTATCAAACCGGATCAGTAAATTGTTTCAGAGTCCCGTAAAAATCCAGCGCTATGGCAAGGAACATCACTCGTTTGGTGAGCAAGCATAAATAACATGCACGAGCATGTAATAAAAAAATCTATGCGTATTCTTGGTAATCTATTGGTTCCATGGGTGTTTCGTGAAATTGCGTTTAGAGTGGATGACTTTGCAGTGAGTGTCGAATTATGAGTAGAACATTATACCAGGCAGTTCAGAGGGCGAAACAATGTTCAAACTAAGAGGCTAGAAATTGACCCCCCTGTGGTACGAAAATCTGATAGATGCACATGTCCCTTCTTTAGTAGCGAGTTTGTGGATCTGAAATTGAAAACACTTACGAAAAGACGGTTTTTGCAAAGCCAATGTTGACGTGAAATGTCTCCTTGAAGACTAAACAGAAAAATTATGTGCAAAGCCATTCTGGAGTCTAAGTTATAAAACCTCCTAAACCAAACAAACGTCACAAATCCTACAGTTATTGAAAGTCCATGGAGAGCTAAAAATGCTTGATGAGTCTAACGAAGGAAATTCTAATCGCACATGCTATTGGGGTTACAAACGAATGCCAATACGTGAGGAACATTTCAAAATAGTTAAAGGTGGTGGATGGAAATGTTTGGAATCGTTTAAAAATCAGGATGAGATTCCGTATCTTAGAAAGATCAGTCAGTTAATTATGCACAGTAGGCAGTACTGGGGCTTCAGCGTCTCTGGCCCTGACTGCTAGCTGGCGTTCCCGTTAGAGACTGTTGTGAAGAGCTGTGTAGGGATTATAGCGGTCAACACATGATCTCTGAGTCTTCTTAAGCGAAAAATGGAACGACATCATCGCGAGCTTGAAACATTTCGCATCAATGTGCTTGCCACATGTCCCATAAAAATGAACGAGAGAAAGGGTCTATTACTGAAAATCTCTTGAGCGCAGCCTTATGGTTGACACGTTCAAAGATGTAGCAAAACTTACCACGAAAAATTTTAATCACAAAAATAATTTTCACCACAAACTTTACGGAGTATTGTTAGGATGTGCACCTGTCAAGTAAGCGTAGTTTTCGGAATTCCAGGATGACTTGTGTTCAGTTCACGTAGTACCTTTCAGTGCCTATTCATCGTCTTGGAAGCTCTCGGTCAACCAATCAT